GAAATCACTGAATAGAAAATCAGCTCTGTTGGGCTCAAACCAGGACAGCCACTGACTTTGTCCTTCCTTTTCCTCCCAGGACAAACTGCTCACCATGTCCATCAAGAAGGAAGGCGCCCACAAGAAATGGGCGGCCCTGAAGGAGAAGCTGGGGCCGCAGGAGACGGACCAGTCGGAGGCCAACTTGGAGAACGCGGAGCCCGAGCTGTGCATCCGCCTGCTGCAGATGCCGTCGGTGGTGAACTACTCGGGGCTGAGGAAGCGACTGGAGAGCAGTGACGATGCCTGGATGGTGCAGTTCCTGGAGCTGTGCGGGCTGGACCTGCTGCTGGAAGCCCTGGACCGGCTGTCGGGACGCGGGGTGGCCAGGATCGCGGATGCTTTGCTGCAGCTCACCTGCGTCAGCTGCGTGCGCGCCGTGATGAACTCCCACAAGGGCATCGAGTACATCGTGAGCAACGAGGGCTACGTCAGGAAGCTCTTCCAAGGTGAGGAGACCTAATCCTGCTTCACCCATCGCTTGCTGCACAGGGATGGGCTTCCCTGTGAACCGCCTGCCCTGCGCCGCGCTTCTTGCACGTTGGCGATTAACGAAATAGATCATTTTTTTACTTTAAAACCATATTGCTTGGAGATGGCTTTGCTTCGCCACTCAGTGCTATTTAGGTGGGCTCATTCCCACACAAATGTCTTCATGGTTCACTGAAAAGCCAGGGATAAACGGGGATTTGATGTCCAATGCAATGGCACAAGGGGCAATGGTCCCAAGCTGGAGCACAGGAGGTTCAAGCTGAAGATGAGACCAAAGTTTGTGAGTGTGAGGGTTCTGGAGCATGGCCCAGGCTGCCCAGAGAGGTTGTGGAGTCTCCTTGTGTGGAGACACCCAAAGCCCTGGCCGTGTTCCTGTGTGACTGCTCTGGTGATCCTGCTCTGGCAGGGGTTGGACTGGGGGAGCTTTCCAGGTCCCTTCAACTCCTGACATTCTGGGATTCTGTGATAAACTCGGTCATAGCTGGGTTGGGAAGTGGGCATGGGAAGTCCTCGACCCTCCAGTCCTCAGCATTCATTTGCTGTTTGGTGTTCCTGAGCCTCAGGGGCAGAGGAGAGCAGCTGAAAGGGCTCAGAGGCTTTGCAGGCTGTGAAGAGAGGAGGTGACACGGGTGGGACGCAAGAGCTTGAGAGCTCATTTAGGGGATGGCAGGGGACACCACTCAGTGTCAAGGCACCTCCTGCGGTTTACTGTGCAGCCCTTAATGTGCTGTGGGGTAACTGAGCTGCTCCACAGCACTGGGACCTTTGCTGTGCCCAGAAACCCCTATTGACAGCTCTGTGCAAGGCGTTTGGTCCCAAAGCTGGCGTGCTCCCCGCTGCAGCTTTGAAGTCCTCTTCCTCCCTCTGCACCCCGTATTTTCTTAACCAGTGTGAAGCACAGAACTGGCATTTCTGAGCTGTGGAAGACAGGGGGGCACCCTGGGCTTTTTGGCAGCCAAGCTCCTTTGTGCGTTAATGAAGGAAAATGAGATGGGCTCAGCCACTGCTCCCAGCTCCTGGCAGCACAGAGAAGGAGCAGCGGAAAACAGGGACCTCATGGGGACCGGTCAGAACAGTCAGGCTGCTTGGTATGCGGATTGGGTGTTTCTGCACTAAAAATAACACTCATTAATTGGGAAAATGGCTTATCTGCTGCTCTAGAAATCACCCGTTTGTGAAAATGGGAATAAAATGTGTGGCTGTGGGTGCTGAGGTGCTGGCTTCTGTTGCAGCGTGGCACTGGTTCATGGAGGAGATGAACAGCTTCGGGCAGCACCAACACGCCAATTTGGCAGCATTTGCTGTTCCCACTGGAAGCTGCTATCACAGAATGCCATTGGGAGGGGATATCTGTACACCGGGGTATTTCTCATCCCATCTTCCATCCCTCAGGCTTTTCTCTACCGCTGGCCATGAGCCCTGTAGCAGGAGACACTGAGACTCAGAGCATCGCTGTCGTTGTAAATCCTGGTTTGTTTTGTTTCCCCAGCACTCGACACAACTAACGTGATGGTCAAAAAGCAGGTGTTTGAGCTCCTGGCTGCGCTGTGCATTTACTCGTCAGACGGCCACGCTTTGGCGCTGGATGCCCTGGACCATTACAAGGTGAGTGCAGGGGCACGGCTCTGCTCAGACCCACGCACCACAGAAGGGACTGGGAGTGCCCCAAAGTGGTGGGTGTTTCTGAACAGAGATGTCACTGGTGTCGTTTGCAGAGCGCCAAGAACCAGCAGTATCGATTCAGCGTCATCATGAACGAGCTCGCCAACACGGACAACGTGCCCTACATGGTGACGCTGCTGAGCGCCATCAACGCCATCATCCTGGGGAAGGAAGAGCTGCGGACGAGGACGCAGATCAGGAATGAGTTCATAGGTAAGGACGGTGGTTGCACCAGCTTCTTCCTGAGAAAATCAGTTGCCAAGGCCTGGGGAGCTCCACTTGTGACCGATCTCCATCTGGGTGTAACCCCATTCACCACCACGCTTTGGGCAGCCCATTTCTCCAGCAAGATGCTGTGGGAGACACTGTCAAAGGCTTTAGTGAAGTCCAGGTACACAACACCACATCCTCATCCACTGGGCAGTCACAGGAGATCAGGTTGGTCAAGCAGGACTGTTCATAAACCCATGCGACTGGGCCTGACCTGGTTGTCCTGCCCATGCTGTGATGTCTCTGAGGAGGATCTGCTCCATCACCGTCACCCAGGTCGGGCTGACAGGTCTGGAGCTCCCCGGGTGCTCCCTTGGCCCTGCTTGGAGATGGGCACCACATCTGTGAGCCTCCATTTAACCAGGACCTCCCCGGTCAGCCAGGACTGCTGATAAATGATGGAAGGGGCTCGGTGAGCCCTTCTGCTGCTCCCTCACCCTCAGTGCATCCCATCCGGCCCTATAGACTTGCAGTAAGATCCTAACAGATCAGTGCCAAGTAGGTTGAAATGCTGATATTTTGTCGTTGTTGTTCTCCCAGGGCTTCAGCTGCTGGATATTTTAGACAAGCTAAGGTAAGGATTACTGTTCAAATTTTATTTGTGAATTAAATTGACAGTAACATAGCTATGGAAACATAAGACTTGTCAATCCCCAGTTGTGTGAAGTGTTCCCAGGAGGGTTGGACCACACTCGTGTGTGCCCATCACACAGGCACTGCAGGCGTTAGGCCAGCGTTGAGGTGCTCTGGGCCACCTCGATGTTCTGGGGACGGCTGCTGGTGCAGGTGGCACTGACAGAGACCACAGGCATGGACAGAGCAAGGCCAGCAATGTCCTCACAGGGCTGCGTTTCAGACCGAGCCCAAAGCGATGCTGAGGGTCACTGAGAAGCACCGACACCGCTGGTGGTGGCCCCAGAGCGTCCAGCATCCACACTTTGCTGACCCACATCTGGACATACCCAGCTTGGCGGTTTCTTAATGATATTCTGTCAGAAACACCCATGATAAATTATGGAATGAATTATACGTTAGTTGCAGTTATCCGTGTAACTGGAACTGCTCCAGCTAATCCCATAAAATAGGGAAGAGGAGATATTTCAATACTGCCACGGGCAGAGTTCCTGTACTATGTGCTCTTGGGAGTAACGAACGAGTCGGCTTTAGAGCGTTTGGGGGTTTTTAATCCAATTTTGCATAACAGAGCAGGAAGTTTTTGTAACGGACATCACTGGAATATTTTCATTTTGACTTAAGTTTAAAAAAATAAAGAAGGTGGCCCAGTTTAATAAAGCTGGAAATGCCACTGTTGTTACAGCTCCGAGGAGGAGCCCATACAAATCACACACTGGGGCAGGTTATGATCGAAAAGTCCCATCCATGTGTGTGTGTCGACTGTAGAAAGAGGCACATTCAGTTCAAGGAAGGGTGCACTGAGGGCATTTGATCCTTTAGAAATGAGGTGGAGCTGGGTACTTCCAGCACCTGCTGGCTGAGTGTTGGAGGCACAGAGATAAAAGCCACTTGAACAAAACCAACTGAAAACCAGCGAAGGGCTCTCCAGTGGAGATGAACGCTGTGGTATTGCAGGGACATAGAGGAGGAGGACCTGCTTATCCAGTGTGACACATTTGAGGAGTTCAAGATAGAGGATGACGAGGAGTTACTAAAGATATGCGATGGGGTAAACATGAACGACCACCACGAGGTCTTCTCGTCCCTCTTCAATAAGGTAAGGGGCCGTCAGGCGGGGCACACCCCGCGGTGTGGGGTGAAGGCGCTGTGCCTGGCCCAGCCGTGCCGTGACGGAGCTGCTGTCCCCAGGTGAGCCGCTCGCCCGTGTCCGTGCAGCTGCTGTCCATCCTGCAGAGCCTGCTGCACCTGGAGCCCTCCCACCGCTCCGGCCTCCTGCTCTGGGAGTCCTTGGACGCCGTCGTCAGCAGAGCCCTCCTGCTCGCTAACGACGGTAACGACATTGCGCTCCTCTTGTGTCCCCTCGTCCTCCCCAGTGCCCACAGAACTCCCTCCCAAAATCACAGAAACAGCCCGTGGGCCTTGCTGGGAGCGGAGCAGAAGCCGAGACAAAGCCACCCAGGCCGCACAGGTCGGGTCTTGATGCAAAGGCCCGGCCGTGCAGTGAGGGCTGGCCATGCTGAGCAGCGGGCTCAGGGTTCATGGTCCAGCTCTGATGGCAAACACCTGAGTTTTGGGTGGTGGCACCCGGTGCAGATCTGACCCCGCTGGCATTAAACTGCGGGTGCTGGCTGCTCTGACTGGCAGGCGTGCCCAGAACAGTGTTTGTGGGCCAGGACCACGGGAAGGTCCTGGAAGATCAAGGGGTGGTTGTGTAAAGCGGGCTCTGTGGCTCCAGATCTGAGCATGGGGGGGGTTGGATTGCGTGAACCAACATTTGGGCCCCATCCCTTCTCTGACCCAGCTCGTCTCTCCAGTCCAGGGGAACACGGTTGAGGAGGTCATCGAGAGGCTGCTGTCCATCAAGAAGCACCCGAGCAG